ATGGCATCGGCACTCATTGGACCCCCAATGATTTGGAATTTCCATCGCCAAGCGAGGCAGGGTAAACGTAATGTGTACCACGTACTACAACACAGCACAGCACAGCACAGCACATATAGAACAGGACCAAGGCTTTGGGAAAAGACATCGGTACCAAGAAGCAAATCGTGCTATCGTCTGCACATCATTTGTTTGTGTGTGGCGGTAAGATATGCGTAATGACATGTTGGGTATTATGATTGGATGAATGAAAATAATTGTGAGATCTTACGAGCCAACGGAACTCCGCGAATCATTTGGGGTTGGATACGTTAGGTGCAGAATTGTTTGACAAGAGGTCATGATAGGTAGTATTAGATGCCCTTTTCCGAAGTACGAGAAAAGGTTGCTCTGTTGAGAAATCTTTGGATTTTTTTGGGAGGAGACAAGCCGGCTTGTATTTTGCTTTTCTCCAAAAGAATCTCATCATTTTCTTATTAGATGTTGCTTGGTTAGCGATCATATAAAATTAGCTATACAAATGATTTTTTGGGATTAGTTTTTCATTCATCTCAATGCGAATAAATAGATGCCCAGCTTTTGACAAGCTTTAATCAATTAACATTTCTTTTTTCGAACCCTTTTCGAAAGAATATTGTTAACTGAATCCTGCTTTGAGAAAAAAGAAAAGGCATGAAAAGAGGCCTGTGTTGTATGTATGTACGTAGTACGACGCATCAGTCAAGGAAATTTAGATGCTCTTTTTGATGGAAGAGGCGTCTTCCGTTTCTAGAGACGAGGATCAAGGGAACGAATATTTGTCTAGTCTCTACCTCCTCTAAACTTTGAATTTTGGGTAGCATTAAAGATCTTGGTAAGAATTATATCATACATGTTGCAGATGGCCATTCCACTCACCTGCTAATATGACTGACTGTACCTCCCCAAAAGCCATCAATCATATTAAGGCAGCTGCAACTTTGCACTCATACTCTGTGCATACCATATTCCATATTATCGGTACCAATAAAAACATTACAGGGGAGACGGTAACTATTTCTCGGTAGTAAGGTAGTAGCACTCCATTATAGGCTAAAACTTAGCCTGGCATCCCAAAAGTCATAGATCCGCATGGACCTAAAGTCTTACATTACGAGTCTTCCACCTTGTACAAATCAGCGGGCAAAATTGATTAATCATTTTCAGCTGTGGTCAAGATGGGCCAATTACACCTTATCTTAATTCTGGATGATATATATCCATAGTGATACCAATATGGTCTAGTAGTAAGCCAGAAGCTGGGTGGATATATACTTCTTGTTCCTACTGCGCCTCTCTCGAAGCATTGCTCTCTATCTCTATCTAAGATATCAAGGAAGTCTAGTAATTTACCATCTCAATCTTCATTTTACTATCGACGCAAACATGGCTAAAACAATATTCACAACGATTACACCTCTCCCTCCCAATGTATCCCGCCAAACGGTCCTCGACACCCTGCACGATCATCTCGAAATGATTGATCTCAATCCATCCCACGCCGAACGCACACCCACCAAGCCCCCTTCCTCTGCCACCCCCGAAGAATACCACTGTCAATGGTATCGCATTACCGACAAAATAGCCTATCTACCCGGCAATCTCTATACCGGCACCGTATCCTTCAACGCCTGTTTCCACGATTTGGCAAATGGACTACAAACACATTGCTATGCGCCCATGGGCTTAGATATCAAGGAAAAATGGACGATCCAAGGAAACATGCCAGGAGAACCAGCCGTTCCGAGAGAAATCGGCATTAATGCGCCGGTGGAGGGACTGTACATCCGAGAAGATGTGGAGATGAAATGCAACATTCTGATGACCAGATTCGTGCGGAAAACCTTACAGGAATGTTTAAAAGCGCTGGTGGCTAGATTAGTAGTGAAAGCGCAATTGCAAGAGGCGCACGAGAGGAATAGGAGATTAACGGTTGGAAGCGCAAGTGGATATGAGAGAGATGGTGATACGATGACGCCGCCCTTGAGTCCGCCCTTGAGGAGCCCCGGAATGGCTTCGGGGGGTAGCGTTGGTAGGAGAGGAAGTGCATATAGCGGGTTGAGTGTTCCGACAAGTCCTCCATTAACTCCTTACAATCCCGAGAAATGGGCCGAGGCAGGTACGAAGGGCCATCCGGCGTTAAACCCGTACACACCGCTTCAATTACAGCAGCAGCAACAGCAACAGCAGTTATATCAGATGCATCATGATAGAAAGAGTTACGGGGCACAAGATCAGAGATGGTCGGGTATTAGTGATAAGACACAAACCTCCCTACCTGGTCCTCCGAACTATGCGAATAAACCTGTCAATTACACGAATAAGCCTACCAGGATCTCCGAAATGGAAGCGCCGCCCGGCCCTGTCGAATTGCCATAGGTGAAGAGGGAGTAGGAGATTTGAAGAACTAAGATCTCGAGGATAATTGTTAGTAATGGACGGGAACAATCGCTTGATATGGTTAATTAAAAAAGGAGGATTATCATCAGCAAAGGGTTTATGGGGTTCGGAAGAAGGAGTTTGATACCACTTACCAGTACCGAAGCATCTGCTTCGAAGGCATACCCAGTTGTGTGATCTTAATACAACTAAGACAGAAACATGCATTGGACTGTCGTTTCAGGAGGCCATGAAGACAGAAGAATCACCACGATAGGAATGGAAAAAAAGGGATCGACGGATTAAAAATTGGCCGTTCGTCTAGTGTGTTGGCGAAGCGCCATGTGATGGCACGTTTTCTGAATGTACATTAATGACGATTTATGATATTGGGAGGAAAGAATCTGGGTAATTTCGAAATATTTGGAGTGTTGGTCAGTTAAATTTATCGAATTTTGGAATTTATTTCAGCTTAAATATCACCCTAACTCAGGCATGAAAAATTCCTCATGGGAAGTTACATGTATTTGCACAATCTTGAGATTCACAATAATGACGTTTAAGTTCCCCATGTCTCAGAGGTCGGCTGTGAACAAAATGAACAAATTTTATTGAGGATCTATGTGTACAAACAAGCCCCGCATCATACACGCTCATGCCCCAAACCCCTCTAAATTCCTATCTATGATGCCATTCTGCTCATATCGTTTCTTATACGTTGGTAATCGAGGAGACCTAAACATGTCAGTAAATAATTCAAAGGAAAACAATGAAATGAGAAATCGTTAGGCATACCTTCAATCGAACCAACAGCACTAATTGCAATATCTTGATCCCACAACTTTCTTTGCGCAAAGCTCATAACATCCTTCTCGCTAATGGCTCCAATAACACGCTCAATCTCCTCTGGTCCCATACGACGGCCAGTGGTGATGATTTGTCTTCCAATGTCTTCAGCAACAGCAGTGGTGCCGTCTAAGGAAAGAAGGATAGATGCCTTGAGTTGAGCCTTGGCACGCTCAACTTCGGCCTCGGTAACGTTATATGATAGACGAGACCATTCACGGAGAGTGAAATGAACTAAATCGTCAATACGGGTGGTCTTGTCAGTGACAAGGTAGATACCCCAAAGTCCGGTATCGCTATAACTTGTGGAGAAACTCATAAAGCTGTTGGCCAAGTCGTTCTTGTGGACGAAACCACTGAGCTTGCTACCCATGTGAGGAGCATTGCCCATAGCTTTATCCCAGTTACCGACGATAGCTTGGGTAACCAAAGCAGTAAAGTAATCATCATCTTTCCAGCTGACACCCTCAACAGCGATGGCAATGTTGGCAGTTGGGATGGTGTCGTCACGAACTCTGACCTCAGAACCAATGAATTCTGGCTTTTGCTTTTGAGCGTTGGCGATGGCGAGGGCAGCGCTGGAATGTGGTCGAGATGCAAGACCAGCAAAGTGCTTCTCAGCGAGTTCAACGAGTTGCTGGTGGGGAACACCTCCGGCACCAACAAGAACCATACGATCAGCAGTGTAGTTTGTCTTAATATAGTTGGTCAAGTCCTCTCTTTGAATGGATTGGATGTTTTGAGCGGGTCCCAAAATGGTACGTCCTAAAGGTTGTCCTTGGAAAGCAGTTGCGTGTAAATGATCGAAAACGACTTCCTCCAATTGCTTATCAACCTCCTCGGATTCTCTCAAAATAACATCACGCTCTCTGTTGATCGCCGAAGGTTCGAGTTTGGAATTTTGAAGAATATCGGAGAGAATATTGACAGTTGCTGGTACGTCAGAGTTGAAAGCCTTGGCGTAGTAAACTGTGTTTTCACGCTTCCATAAAATTAGTAAAGTGCCCGCGCTATTCAAATGAATGTAAACATACGGAAGTGTAGGCATTCAAGTGGCCACCCATGTTCTCAATTTCCAACTCCAATTGATGCTGCGTTCGGTTGCTGGTTCCCTATTCTCATTGTAAGCCCAATTGAACTTTCCACCCGAGACTGAAGTATACCTTGAAGGCAAGATGTTCCAAGAAATGAGCAGTGCCATTGGTCTTGTCGGTTTCTGCCCGAGAACCGGCATCGATCCATACACCAACTGTCGAGGTTTGTGCCCATGGCGAGTGTTCTGTAGCGATCTTTTCTCTTATCAGCACTTTGCCCCTCCATCGTTCATATGCAAAACTTACCGTTAGACCGTTTGAAAGAGTTGTGGTCTCTGTCTTAACGCCATTTTTTGTGACTGGAGTCGCGAATCCTCTTCTCAGTCCAGATACGACATTTGGAGCAGCGCGGGTGCGCAGTCCTTTTGTAAGGTTTAATGCTAACCGCCGAGACGCCATAGGGATATGATGTGAGGGTTGTGGTGGAAATAAAACAAATTGAAGATAACCCGATGAGTTCAAATTACTAGAATTTAGTAAACCTGAAGAGCTTAGTCGTTGATCATATTTCAACCAATCAAATTTGTTCCGGCTTTGATGACCTCACACGTGACTTGTTGCCGAGCTACCTAGTTATTCCGAACATCGTCGACCGAGCATTGAAGGACCTGAGTGATATGTCGTCGACTCTTTTACACTCAATAATTGTAATAGAAATTCACAATGGCTTCATTCATCAAACCATCAATCATTAGGCAGACTTGCCTCGCTGCGTCGAAGCGCAATTTCTCTACAAAGATCCCCTCCAATTTCCCCGCAATCAACAAGCCCGCTGGTCGCAGTACTTTTGTTCGAGATGCATTGCCAGGTTCAATGCGTGTAGCGGCATTCCATGCAAGTGGCAGACAATCAATTCTACCCCCATTACCCCGTGAGCTTTCCGCTATTGATGTGCCTTAATTCTCTTGCTAACTACTCCACAGAATCTATTGATGGAACTTGTATGTTGATCCGCCCTCGAGCCAATCCACCATAAACTAATAGACTATATAGCAAACGACGCAGCACCCGTACCTAAGCCATCCCCATCCCACGGCTCTTACCACTGGACTTTCGAGCGTTTGATCGCCGTTGGTCTCGTTCCTCTCACAGTCGCCCCCTTCGTTTCCGGATCATTGAATCCAGCTACCGATGCTCTTCTTTGCGCGGCTATTCTTATCCACTCACATATTGGTTTCGAGTCGTGTATTATCGATTATTTCCCAGCAAAGAGAGTGCCAAAAACTAAAGCGTTATTTTGGTGGGGCTTGAGGGGAGCAACTGTTTTGGTTGGAGTTGGATTGTACGAGTTCGAAACAAATGATGTCGGAGTTACTGAGGGTATCAAGAGAATTTGGCGCGCATAAGAGGGCCGGGAGGAGTTTGTATTATTCAAGAATAAGCAGCGTACGCGCAGTACAATATCAAGGCTGTCCAACACATGTCGCTTTAGGTTCTGTCAAGTGAGATCGCCATTTGCCTAGAATTTTGAGTGTTTGTACAGCAAAATACGGGCTCTCATGGTCTTTTTTCAATCTTGAAAAGTAACATCAAAGCAAAGTATATTGGCAGAGAATGATGACAGCTTCTTAAACCTCTACCTTGCCGAATTGCTTTACTAGAAACACTAGACTCATATCGAGTACCTCATTACGCTTTGCTTTTGTTGATATACCTCTGCATACATCTCGCCATTAAGACAGCATATCTCCAGTATAGGATATTCCGTTTGGCTACAATCTCGGAAGCTCGACCCAGAAAATGCAGAACAGGAGGCAATATCTCATTCAATCGCCAGTATGTTATGCAAAGTTGGTTTGTTTGTCTCGACACCCTTTTATGAGAGGAGAACAAGAAATCGCTAGGAAAATCGTCAGAAAACCAAGTCAATTTCTTTTTGCATTATGGAGGTGGAGCTCTCGCTTTGAATCTATTTTCTGGATCCGTCAAAATCAATCATGAATATATAACAAGCGTTTCTTAAAAATCACAATGCCCAATCTCACCGTGAGACGCGACTCAAAGCAAGCAAAGAAGAGTGGAGAATAGAGTACGAGCAGCATGGTTCAATCGAGGGAAGCAAAATTAAAAAAATTGAAATCACGTAATGTAAACGACCCCGTGTCCAATTCAAATCAGACGAACTGAGTTCTTCAATCAACAAGGTCTTCGGATGTTAAGCAGCGGTCCCATTCGAGGGGATGTGAAGACCCAGTGCGTTACCCCTAAGCCATCTGGACTTTGTTTCTTGGAGAAGTGATGTGGGTTGTTTATATTTATGTTGTTAAGCGAGGAGCCTCACTTTTATATGTCCTGTCATTTTGTACCTCTGCTAGTTACAAGTTGTATTAGGTCTAAGTTCGCACTGCCTCATAAAATACTGAGCCACAGTAAGAACTCAACTTCATTGTATTTTATCGACCAATTTTTCAATTTTTCTTCATCACTACCATATTTTCGAAAACGCCCCTACTAGCAAGACAGCATTATGCCACAAGATAGAGTATGCAGACTGTTCATTTGGTTTCCAACTTGAGAGAATAAGAAACTAATGTGACTCTAGCTATCCCCTTTGACCTGTCTAACCCCCACTCTATTCCAACGTCTGTCTCCATTTCCCGCAGAATCCTTCACCACCAATAAACATATCGATTACAATTGGTATGGGGGTTTCGATCATTACAAAATAATTTCTGAGGCGACTTCTTTCCTCTCTACCTACACCTCTCTCTCAGCTTCATGCATATCCTCTACCTTTTCCGATTTCCTGGACATCGCCCGGAAATATTGCAATGAGTATGAAAGAATTCCAACAGAGGCCTGTTGGTTTACAATCCGTCTCAGCAAACCGAGTGATGTATTTGTGATGCCTAGATGGCATCAAGATGGGAGAATGTTCGACTGCACCTGTCTTCATTCTCGTTCTGGACACGAGCATGAGGGATCCAGCAGCGACCCTAAGGAGGAAAAGGCAATTCACAGTAAATACGCCACCACACTCCTTGGCCCTTGCACTCGACTGCTCCCAGAAACTTCTTTTGTTAGGAGTAGCATGGTCGAAGTCATGGGTTTGAGTCATGAAGAAGAAAGGATTCAATTGGCAAAGCAGTTTGAGAATAAAGAATGTGTTAGTTTAGTGGCGGGAGATATAATTCGGTTTACTTGGGGAGATGAAGATTCGCCTGTTCATTCGGAGCCGGATATCAGTTGCAGTGATAGAGTGTTTGTTAGTTTGATGTTTGGCAGTAAAGAGGAGCTTAGACAAATGTGCAAGTGGCGGGATGTGGAATTCAGAGAGTAAAAGATTGATTTCAGATGAAAGAGTCCACGACCCTTTTTATTTAAACTCGCTTCACTTTATCAAAACTGCTCCTTGTCTTCGAGACGTACAAAAGGCGATAAAACAGACAAAGCAGGTAGAGCTGGCGGATATGTCGGGCATCCGTATTCGTTGGAAAATTCTATAAAGCTCTTTTCTTGTGGAGAAGAAGAAAACAAAGATGAGACATGTAACCAATAAATAAGGTGCGCATCATTGTCAAATGAAGTGATTTGATTTTTTGTCTGTAATTGACATGTCCATTAAACTATGGAATCAGAGCCGACGTAATCCTCGCCGCTACTCTTGGCAATCACCACGAACTGAACTCCATACTCCTATCCAAAACTCAATACACGATCAATGTCAGGCGAACCTTCCAGAAACACGCTTTTGTTTCTTATTCGATTGTCCGAGCATTGCAGGCTTAGAATTAGAAGGAAAGGGTTCGAGAGTCTGTTCATTTTCCTGAGCTTGTCTGTTGGAGTTACGGCCTGCTTCCATCTCGGACTTTGAGATCAAGGTAGAAGTGATTTGTTGTGCGGGGCTTGCGAGTTTGCGTTTTCGGGAATTGGCGACATTAGTGCTCAGTTGAGTTTCTCGACGTGGGGATTGAATGATGGGAATGCCATTTTCATCTAATTCTTCTTCGTCTTCGGCACCGTGTACAACTTCCAATGCCGGTCCCATCGAAATGTTGGTCATTGTCATTTCATCTCCACTCTGAGAACCTGGAGTCTGTAGGCCGGTTTCATCATCTTGATTATCCGTATTCACAACCTCAGTACGCGTGTGCCAAAGTTGCATGTTAACGTTCATTTTAACTTCTAGACCCTTTGGAAGTTTTGGGAGCGAGAAGTCAAATCCAGAGAGGATAGCTTTGGTCGTGCGCTGGAGGAGAGATTCCTATTATTTTTTTGTCAGGAGCGTTTGTTTGTGCAGGCATAAGTAGTTCGAGATATTCGCAGATACAGAAGATGAAGAATCAGATCAGAGGCAAAGAAAGAAAATTTCAATGCAGACTAAAAGACTTACCAATTCAGGCCCTTCATTTGTCTCATTCAATTTCTGTTCAATACCAGCTAATTCCCTAGCTTGATCCCTCCGACGTGCAAGGCGTGATTGATTTTCGACGAAAGCAATGACTCCCTCTTTAAGAGTCGGCTTGTCTATACCGGTAGCTGTGAGTCGCTCCAAAAGCTCTTTGACGGTCAGCTTGTTGAGGTCCATGCTGCTTGGTTGATATTCTATGACACGAGTTGAGAAGGGAGAGGTGAAGGTAGATGGTATATTTGTTTCTTTCTTGGTTGAATGAATGCATGAATTCTGGGAATGAATATATGCTATGCAGTATATGAAAATCCAGATGGGAATTTGTTTGTAATTATATAGATGGGTGAGTGAAAAAGCCGTAGAATTAGCGTTCTTGTGAGTTTTCTACTATGCTGTAGAGGTGAATTCGCCGCATTAAAGAGAGCCAATGTGATGAGATAAAATGCCAAAAAACAATCGAGTGGAGTTGTTTTCTGGTGATTTAAAACTTTAGAGATGACTTATGATACTAGGAGAGGTGTAATGACTTATCTTTGCTTGGGAATACTAGCTAGCAGCTGGTGTGGTAATAGCTCGTTCCATATACATAGTACTCAAGAACCATGGGCTTTTTGAATAGTAGAAAGGAATATTCAACCTTGAAAGGGTTGCAGTCAAGTACATATCTGCAGTACTGATCTATGGGTTTAAGAAAGACACATCACATTTAGAGGAGATCACTAAAATAGGTTGCACATTTGTATCTTTCTACAATAATTATGAAAGATATTTTATTACAGAATCTAACATTATAAATCACGGAAACCAAGGTCTTTGTTTTCTTCTGAAGAGTAAAATCACGCCTCTATACACTCAGCACAATATTTTGGGTTGATTTGACTTGCCACAATCCGCGACACCCTCACATACAGCATCATAAACACTTACATTTATTTCCAATAAGACACCAGAATTCTGCTGCATAATCGCAATAAATTTATTCAGTTGCTGTCTCACAATTTTTGAATTGCCATGTATGATTTATCTTCCTTTCATCGGATACAAAAACCTACTCAGATAGATTCTATCTCAATTCAAACCTAAGCGAGAAAAGACCTAATTCAACAAGACCAAATCCATCTATCTACCATCTCAAACCACAAACATGTGTGAATAAGCTGGTTTCATTCATCAAACAGAACCATAGAACCAAAAAATCAATAATTGACAGTAGTACCTACACTCAACTCACCCAAACTCTATTGATCAAAGAAAGTTCGTTGACGACCCCCCTTTTCTCTCAATACCATGTAAGCCAGTAGTCCAAAGAACAACAACCCCAATTCTCAATATACCAACCCAAAATCATAGATTGCAAAATCATTTTCAAGTACACAATGTCATCTCAACATTGTTGATCCACAACAAAATTCATCACCCGGCCGATGTCTAGAGTGACTAGTCTTTCCAAAACCAGGCTCTCTCCAACTTTTTCAAATCAACTTCTTAACAACACCACACTACAACATCCCAACCCACAAACAAACAATTAAAGAAAAGTAAGTCTTCTTTCTTCTAACCATTCAATTACTTGATATTCTTGCAAGTGATTGTGGATGAAACTTTTTCTTATCACAAGTAAAGGTTTCACACTCCTTCATACTCGTTCATTGCATTCTTTCAATCCATGCTCTACACTGTAAATCACTAACGAAAAACAAATCACAGTTCACGTAATCACAAACTTTCGAAGCCCACTCAAAATGGCAGACCCCTCCCCCTCAAAAGTCTTAGACCAAATGGAAATCGACACCACTTCCGCCACCGTCGACGCCACCTCCTCCACAAATTCCGCTCCCACCAACGAAGCCGCCGCAGTCTCACAATCAAGAATCGCTCTTGACGAAATGTTCGCTGAATACAAAGCCAAGAGAGATAAAGACTACCACTACAACGTCATTCCCATTCCCGATCTCCTTCGCCATCTCAGCGAGCGTGGCATCCAACCATCCTTCAGAGATGCAATGGTTGTTATGCTTCTTCTCGATGATGAGAATCGTTCTTTGGCACACCAAAACTTTCATTTCACGCATGGTACTGCTAATTGTTTTGTTGCCGAGAATTCCAATCTTGTGTACGAGGAAGATTTTGGAGAACGTGAAGTTGGAGATGCTTCACCAGGTCGCCAAGTTCAGGTCGGTGATGATCAATCTGGAGGTGAGCAGGTTGATAAGCCGGATATGATGGACGTCGAACAATCAGAGCTTTCCGTAAGTCACATCCTATACTTGAATCAAATGTGGCGAATAGCACGGACGACTTACTGAGGCTTAAACACACAGTCTGATCATTCTACTCAACATCAAGCCTCCGAGGAGCTTTAGACCCTCCATTACAAGAACCAGTCCCATTAGCTCGAGAGAAATCTATACATCCCGAACTTTCATTTTGGATTGAGCCTATTTTCGTGGGGCCAGCGGTTCGAGCAATTCAGGATCTTCGTTTATGGATATGGTCACTTCTCACATGCTACGGATATGGTATTGATAGTTACTTTCGGGATTGACGGGAGGAATAACTTTTTTCATAGGATACACATTGGCGCAGTTGAGGCTATTTATTTTCTAATACAAGGAGCTCGTGCACCCCCAAATTTACCCCAAATGCGGGGGATCTACATGTATCTACCCTTAGCGGCACTATTAGTCTAGCAGTTCTACTAGCCATAAATAGAGTTTAAATCCACAACATTGACCCAGTTTCTCGACTGTGGCAAAGCATATATCAAATCATGACATAAGAATGATAAGATAGTCCTCGAGAACCTCAAACCTACCAAGCAAAGATCAAAAGGAAGTGAAATGACACGAAACTCTTCTTCCAAAAATGAATGACAATCATAACCATGATTCTGAAGCTCTAATAGTTGCTCGCTATCATAAGACGAATTCACATACAAATTCAAATTCAACACCAATATGGACCGGAATCTTCGATCCTTCTTTCCGGGTGCTGATACTCCCTCGATATCTGGGTGTGCAGACGGGGATTATACCTCTTCCCTCTTCTCGACGCATAACGAGTTCAGAGTACGAACAAGAACAGCAGAAACTGCGAGAACAGCAACAAGAAGAACCATCCAAAGAATCCGAATCCAAAAATCCTCCCTCGAGCTCGAGTCCTACGCCAAGCACCCATAGTTTCTGCTCCTGCTCTTGTTCCTGTTCTTGTTCCTCCGAATCCTCGCATTCCGCACTTCGTACGAGTAGTTCTTCATCCGATTCCTCATATACTTCAATTTCTTCAACTACAAATTCTACACATATCCATACCCACCCCAAAAATCCCAGCATAAACATCTCCGAAGAACAATCTCTCCATACCCCCAGCTTTCCCCAAAAAGCCTCGCGAGTCCGGATCACTTCTCTGAAATACAAGATACGCCGACCCGGACTTCGATACTCAAGCCCTCGTTGGATATACTCTCAGATTCGAATACAGATTCGGATTGCGATGAGGATGACTATGAAGGTTTCGTTGATGAAGACGATGATTTTCAACCTGTAATAAAGGATAATGAAGAGGAAGATTCGGCAATGTGTGATCTCATGGAGGGATTTCGCAAGATGAGTATATGAACTTTGAAGAAGAAGGGATCAGAAAGTTTTGGGAGGGAGGAAGTTGTGGAATGAATGACGGGGTATATTGAGTGCTCTGTGAGATATACTCAGAGAGTATACCCAATCTCATGATTCGACGATCTTTGTCTCTCATTGGTACTAGTCCGCTAGATTGGGGCATGTCCAGATATTCTCTATACTACTATGGAATGCGCTATAATAGCCACGACAAGCAAAAAGTCCTCGAAAGATTCAACAACCTCAACCTTCCATCACACTTCCCAATCCGCATACCTTGCACTCCCACCCAAATTCTCTCCCACCAAACCCTTCTCTCTCCCACACATTCCAGCCAGCACCACAGAGAAGACAAATCCACCCACCCTCCCTCAATACGGATTTCCAATCCCCGAATCCTCGCTCCTCGATATCCAACATCCCTTTCACAAGTACACACAGATTCATGGCTCATCCCAGATACGAAGCCGAACAAGTAAACAAACAAGACGCGAGACGAATCGCAACGTCCCGGCCGGAAACCTGCTTATCAACGAACTGCGCGGCGCAGAAGTAGATAGCAAACAGCTTCTGTGTAATCTTACAATCTCGAGGAGAGAGTACTCCAGGACTTGAAGAGAGGAAAACGAAGATGGGAAAGAAAGAAAAAAAAAAAAGAGAGATCCTCCCATCTATTCCATCCTAGAAAATGACGAGGAACTTACTTCTCTTATATATATATATATATATATATAATACAACCTCTGTGTGTGAATGGTTCTAGGGGGTATTAGTATACTGTATATTCACACTATATGCTTATATTATAATACTATCCATACCCAATACCCCCCACGAATCCTGTATTCATCGCAGAAGCCCCCGAAAATACAAATACAAACACCATCTCTCTCCCAACTTCCAAATCCCCACACAGCAGAAAGAAGGAGTCCACAACCCAACGACCAAACGACCCAACAACTCAAACCCAAAGCTAAACTCAAACCCAAAGCTAAACTCAAACCTCAGTATCCTTTTAGGAACATACACAACGACAAACGAATCAAGCAAGGCAGGCAGGCAGGGAACGAGACAGGGAACGAGATATCTCATCTATCTATCACACATCACACACCACATACACAAAAAATCATCCGCCTAGAAAATACTCAAATATTATATATTCTCTAAACAATCTCTAAACAATCTCGAATCCCCCAGCATTTCTCTTCTTGAACGTCCAACGTCCAACCTCCAACCTCCAGATTCCAAACACAACCTCCAAATCTATTTCCACCCATCTAGCGAGCGACCCAGCGGCTCCTTTTCTGATTCTCATTCATCTTTATTTCATTCCTGTTCCTATTCATCGTTCCTCTGATTAGATACCATGCCATGCCATGCCATACCATACCATACCATACCATACCATACCATACTATACCATACCATACCAGATTATCAAATTAAATTAAATCTATTGATTCAATATCAAAACTCAATACCAATCAAAATCAATCAATCAAATCAAAACATTAAAATAATACGAAAAAATTCGCTCTATACTTTCTAACCAAAAAAAAAGTTAAATACTCCACGCTATGCCCTTCTCCGTACATACCCTTGTGTATCCATACCGATCCCATACCATGCCACCCAAGAAAGAGTACCCACATCCTCCCAAAGAGAAGAAGGAGAAAAAAATGTTCCAACCCAATCCATGCTCACTCATCTAAACTCCTACAATATGCTAATATACACTTGCTGTCAAAGGTATTTCGTCGAAAATTCTCATCGCTACGCTGTACTTCAACACCCAAGCTCCTTTCATTCATTTCCCATATCTCGTTTGGGTTCGTCTGCATTACATCCCCGCGTCCCTCTCTGCTTAAATTAAGTATACAGGAATGTTGAAATTCCATGTTCCCATATTGTCGCCGTGATGAAGTCCTAGACCTTCTAATCGTCGGAATTTTCTTCCTTTAAAGCAAGATTTTTTAGTCCTGTAATGACTTCGGCATCGGTATCAATTTTCTCAGGTTGAGGGGTGAGTTGATCATCTAGTCTGACACCGCCCCCTTCTAGCGCTGAGTCCTCTTCGTAATCGTCATCTTCAATTGCGTTGTCGTAGTATTCCTGATCTTGACCTTCTCCCTCTAACAGCATACTTCTTCCCAAACCATCATCACCCTCTATTGACTCCATCAAAAGACTTTCATCTAAACCCTCCTCGTAGTAATTGTCTTCGTCTAAAGATTCACGAGAGATATAACTATCACCCAAATGTTCGTTGTCTTCTTCCTCCTCGTCGTCATCCTCCTCCTCCTCTCTTTCTTCAAGATCCTTGTCATCACTCTCAGACCCACTGAAGTCGTCGAGTTCAAGGACAGGTTCTCGCCAATATGTGAAATCAGTGTATTCCTCACCTCCGCTGGTGATAAGGGTGTTTACCGGTGGAAAGTAATGATCCACAACCTCTCGCATATTTACATAGCTGTACCGTAATTTGTTGAGACTGAGCAAATCCAACGAAACTTCTGCATAACTGTTGATCGTGAAAATGCGATTGCTTGGAATACTGACAGAGCGGTATGATAATGCATCAGTGAGCCTGTTACCAAACCCTGCATAGAACGGTGTGCGATTAGGGCCGAACAGGTTCTTGATATCTCTTAGGCAAGCCATTTTAAAGACTTCTGGCTTTCTAATATAGACTTCTCGTCTCAAAGCTGCAAGCGTTCTATCAGGACTCAAGATGGTTGGTCCTTTCGGTAAGCGATAATTCTCCTGTACCACACCATTGAGGTAGGCTCTGGTTGTATCGGCTTGACCTACCGATCGAGAGGTCAAGTACATGATGTTGTAACCATTGTTAATGATCTCCGTGTAGAGTTTGGCAACTCCGATATGAGTCCAATCTCTTCCGATGTAATTCAAGACATGACCTAAAGCATCTGATTTTGTGATGGTACCATCAATATCGGAAATTACAATAGGGACATCATATCTCCAGAGATACATATTTGCTTGACAAGTTGCTCGGTTGACAGTAAAGCTCACGGGATTTGGGCCGGACTTGAGGCCGAGAGCTTTTAATTGATCGCTAGTCAATCGCAAAGTTTTGGCGTAGTTTCGATTTGGATCACCGGCGGTTCCAGTGGGTGTCTTGGGTGGTGTTTGCATTCCCAATGACTCCGAACCGGCACGTCGGTGCGTTGGAACGATCGGTGGGTGAAGGATATCACTATCTGTTTCGCTACTGTATCCTAGATCCGAAGAGGTATCGGTCGTCAATCCAGAAGCATTAATGCCTGCCATTGCCGCCCTCTGACTTGCAGCTTCTTTTGCCTCTTCACTACTGTATATCCAAAGGTTTCCGTTTTCATCCGCGCCAATCAGAGCACCAATATCATAATTGCCTTCCAATTCTTCTGACAAAACCTTTCGCGCAATAACCTCTGCCCGAAGCGCATCATCGTCACTACTTTTGTAACCCGTCATATCCAACATCAAGTCACCGGTTTCCGTGACCTGACTTGGGATGTTTGAGGCTTGAAGACGATTCGACAATGCCATTGCCCTTTCTATTGCTTCGCGTGTTGGCAGAGGCGGAGGGCTGTGCGATCTTTCAGTGAAAACATCCGATTGTCCATCGACAGCTGCAACAGTGGGTGTCATGGATCGTGTTTGCCTATCTCGTTCCGTCAAATCGCTAATGTTCGTGCGAGCCGAGGATGACAAGAATTCGTCTGTATGGCTACGTTGAACTCCAGCATAATCTCCAGGAAGGGTTCTATCAATTGCCTGCTCTGACGATATCGATGGTGGTGTCAAAGCACCTATTCTAGTCAGTGAAGAACATTTGAAAATGATCTTGGCAGCTTACTGAGATTACTTTGCCTCCTAGGATATGGACCTCCCGCAGATTTTGTAAAACTGTCTGATCTTAAACTTTTGTGGCCCATATCTAATGCTAGGAAGTCAGGTTCCGACAGACTTGCTGGGTGCGCACCCGATGCTGGTAACGGTGGACTGGAAACTGGCGAAACGAGAGGTGAGGTCTGCATAGCTTCTGGAATATTATCACTGGTCTCGAAAACGAAGAATGCCTCTCCCCCTTCTCCCAACTTCATGGCGTAATCTTGTTTGACATCGTTGACTCTAAATTCGACCTTCTTCTCGTATGGTCGAAGGAGAGAGAACTTCCCGAAGCGAACGTGAAATGGTGAACATGCCAATGATCCATCTTCTTGTTCCACGACTATAACATCGATCGCTCCGCTGAGGGTTGCTGGGTTTATCGAATTCCAGGTTTTCGAAACCGAACCGCTGATACTTCGCACGTATTGCATTGTCGATTTATTGTTATACAGAAAGGGATGTTTGTTGGGATGTGGTGTAGGACGGAGGCGAATGTCGCCAACGAAGATTTTGTAGATGCGCCCCGATTAGGGAAGTGTTGAGAAGTTAATAGCGGAACTTGTAAGAATTATATGTCGATTAGGTCATGCGTATATTCCTTTAAACTTTGCGACTGATCAAGTGGGGTTAATCCTAGATGAATGTTTGTTGAATGGACGATGGTATATTATGTAAAAAGGTGCGTATAGTGAGAAGGTTGAGTGAAACGTTTGGCTTGGAAGTAGGTTGGTATTGTTCTATTGTATGATACCTAGGCAAAGCTTCTACATAGGGTGAGACTTTGGGGGGATCAAAAAGGGAGTTTAGATAACGAGTGAATGTGATGGAAAAACGACAGAGGGGAGAATATGGAAGCAATAAAGAATCTTGTATGGTAAAGTTGTACTTCAGCCGGGATGGGACGCAAGTGAGGGAAGGGAAGGAAAGGGAAAAGTGTTGATGTTGATGCGGATGTTGAGGATATCATATGAAGGGTTGGGAATGGGAATGCGACCAAAAGCAATGGGTGACGACACGGAGAAAATGGATCAAGCTCGAATAGGATGAAAATCCGGTGAAACCCCTGCCAATAAGGAGAAGTGAGAATTCCCAAAGATTCTAGTCATGCAGCTCCAAATTCCATGCACCTAATAATACGGAGGGAGGATAAGGAGGATGGATCTAAGCACCAAATTTCTATTTTCGAGCCGGCCGTGAGCCGAGAGACATACAGTAAATGGGTACGGAGTGCATACCTGGGAATATGAATACCGATACGGGTACACACATATGATACACATGATACATAAGATACACATACAGATACACATACAGATACATACAAAGCTACAGAATCTGTACAGAATCTGTCGTCTCAGGATATTTGACGTGGGCAATGGCTTAGATGAGCTGACATGAGCTGACATGAGATCAGTGGGCGATTGAGTGCAAAGGCCTCGGTAGGTAAGATTTGCCAGGTCTACTCCGGACTGGAAGAAAAGTTCTTGTGTGCATCTGTGTGATCGATGGTCGATGGATTGGAATGTGGAGTCGAGCATAACACATGTGACAGGAGAATTCAGTACCGATGTATGGAGTCTTCACGTAATGGTACAGAGGAACCTAGGTAAAGTTTCCACGATTGATTGCCCAATGATCAATTCCTACTTTGGGAATGATTGATTTGACTGCGGTCGAATGAAAAAGAAAGTCCAGTCCTAGCATAGACGGAGAAATACTTCGGGAGCAGACTTTTCTCGTATTAGCTCATTTGGTGGTGATGAAGTACCAAGGGAAATAAATGCATATGGAGTGGAATCATTGAACGTTGATGCAGAATTTATGGATCGGTGCCGATATGATATCTGGAAATGTTGAGATGATTTCACATGTGAAAGGAGAGAGGGGGGAGATCCTGAGTGGTAGGTAGATGCACGAAGGAAGCGTATATACGTACGTGGTGATAGGCGAGGTGGGATCGTGTTGTGTGATCAATGAGATTGATTAGATGGAAGATATCTAGACCCATGTACGATATACCTATATCTGTTTACACAATAGACCCATCTGAGTAAAATCTCCATCTACTACTCGCACATACTCCATGCATTATTGATTGACACTCTCACTAATGGCAATACTTGTATGACCATAGCAAGACAAAAGCTGCATCGTCCAAATGCTCAGTGCTCATTCCGACCAGACCGTGCAAAAACAAAGTCCCGAGCATCTATGTATCAGAAGGGTGAAAATGATCACACCTCATATGCATTATGTAAGATATCTTCTTGGCATGGTTTCCAATAATACCGACGGACAATCATTCATGACTAGATATTTCTTCCATTCAGACTTCACTTCTGACAGATACCAAGTACTGTTTTGAGTGATGTTTCAAGGACCCAGTGATGTTTGAATCACATTTGATCAACCCCGCATTTAGTGATTTCCCTCGTGGGTGCAGGTGCTCATTATATGACTGCCAGGATTGGCAACATGTTTCGTATACTTTGTACATATCCGAATCTAGGTAGGTAATAGATATTTTATTACGTACACGTGATGAGAACAGGAGGTAGGAGGTGGGCACAGAAGTTGTTGATTAATTAGACTTTTGAAAATAAGTTCGATCTATTGTTTTTTTTATCCTTTCTTCCCTTTTTTCTCCTTTCTTCTCTCCCTTCTGCCTTCTCCTCTCCTTTCTGCCTTCTCCTCTCCCTTCTTCCTTCTTCTCCCCTCCCAAACAATATACTCGGAGAACACCGGTATCATTGCTGAATTTTTCTTCCTCTGTACCATCATCTACATACTAGTCAGTACCTACCCGTGCTACCTACCTAGTACACACTTCAATCCCATAAAGGTGACGGCCCGCGCCCAGGCCGTTCAAGATGTTAGCCAGGGAGCCAGGATAGATCATCATAGCCAGGATAGCCAGGATAGTCAGGATAGTCAGAATAGCCAGAATAGCCAGGATAATAGCCTCAAGATCCGTGTCGGCAGTGAAAAGGATCACTTGCCCCATTCAATCTAATTGGTCATGTTGATACTCGAAATTGCATTACTAATCATGCTTACACTACCATGTAAATAATATCATTGGCTACATGATGGAAATGTAAAGATGGAAAATTGAAAATCTTGATGCATGATTGCCTGAAATCTGTGGATATGACCTCTACCGTGGACCGTTGTAAAAAAGCCAAAAGAAAGCAAGCAGCTTGTAGGTTAATTGAGTGAGTGAATGCCATCGCGAAATTGTACCACACATTTACTCAAATACTCTCTTTCTCTGGCAACTTTCACCACCACCTTTTCCCCTACCACCATCTCTTTCCCTTCTCTTTTCCCCCGCCGTCATTAGTTCTCAACAACCTCTTTCCTGAGTGTTTTGAGATCTATTCGGATTCGATTCTGTATGAACGCTGTCGACTACTACACCAGCTTGATTGACTGGGTATTTAGTCATGCAAGAGTGCTCCACGAATACATGTTTTTAATTCAGTCGATAGTGACTTGTACGGCCCTTTTCTGGTTCGTTGCACATCATTCAATCGGACGGCAGAAACAAGCCTTACTAACCTACTATATTAAAGGCTGCTGAGGAGGGCATGGGAGGTTCTTTGGACCCCTCTACCACGACTTATTAGCATTTTAGGTGTCGAAGTCCCCGATCCACCAGAGGTTTCTCTCGCCTGCATCAAATCAGATGCGTTAACTTTACATTGGTCATCATCGCCACCAAATAAAGGTGTGGTTCGGTATATTATCCAAGTAAATGGCGTCGATGGTGAGTTCTCTATGATGCATCGTACCTTGAGTACCCCAGTCGCGCTAACATTCTACCACTAGTTGGCGAATCTACCCAAGGAGAAACGGTCATTATCGAAGGGCTCAAGCCGGGTAATTTTTACAATGTGAGAGTGATCGCGGTTGGTACGCAAAATTTTCAGGCCGGGAGTAGAGTTATACGGTTGAGAACTTTGGGTCGAGACGGACTTCCTCGCCATGGAGTAATAAGGAATGAAGCCGATCTGTCGAATGAAGATCAGCATGATGCTGGTGGGGAAAGTTTACCCACGGTTCGAGCCCACGGAGTCTCAACCGACGGCGCCAATCCTCCTGCAGCTACCGTGCAGGTTGTCGTACGAGAATCGAGCGTTTCCCATCCGAGCCAGAGAAGAAATACCGTAGGTAGAAAACACTCACAATCAACAGCTACCGCTACCGCCGAGAACTGGTCCGCCTCGAATGCTCAACCTTTGGATGAGAGCCGAGAGACGATTCAAGAGTTGCAGGAACAACAAGATAGGATCCAGAAGGAGCTCGAAGATGTGATTGCGCAAGGTCTGAAGGAATCGGAGGAGATCAAAAACCAAATCCTTCTCCTATCCGAAGATAAAGATAAAAAGACAGAAATGGTCAAGGACAAGGAGGAAGCGAGCGAGACGTTAAGAAAAGAGGTCAAGAACCTGGAGGTCAAAAATCGACAAGCACAATCGCGGAAGACGGCCTTGCAAAAGAGTTTACAGGCCAAACAGGTGGAGAGAAAGAAGATGCAAGATGAACAAGCACGCTGGAAGAAGGAAATGAAGTCGATGGGCGCTGAAATGGAGTCCTGGAGTCGCGAGGCAGAGGAGATACGCACGTCTACAGAGGCAAAATGCGAGGAGCTTCGTGAGAATATTCGAAACGTTCAAGATTTAATCACGAAATTTACGCGTGAAGTTGCGGAGAAGGGGTTATTGGTCAAGAGCCTAGAAGAGGAGAGGGAGGGTCTTGGAATTGGGCTAGATGACGATCAAGCCCGTGAGTGGGAGGCTTTAGAAAGGAGAAATGATGCTCAGTGGGAGGCCGAAAGCAGAACGCAACATGCTATTGCGCAAGACTACAGTCAACGGCTGGAGCGACTTGAGAACGAACTACAAGCCGCACAGGCCAATTTCACAGCGCTTTATGCCCGGCTACCAAGCAATCCAAATGAACTCATGAATCACGCAAATTCATCTGGAGTGGATTTCGATCCGAATGGACAACACGGTAGAGCCAAATCTCGACGACAACGCACTCGCAAGAGCCGCACGAATACTGTCTCATCTACTTCTGGTTATGCAATGGCCGAGTCCCAATATTCAAGTACTGGTATATTCAACAACTTCAACTTGATGAGCTCGCCAGCTTATGCGGCAGCTCCATATTTGAATCTAGCTATGAGTAATGATACTGCGATGGCTTCCGTCTCGGGTCACTCGGGAGGCATGAGTGAAGCTGATATCCAATCGCTCACTGCGGGGGCACCGCTCAGCCCGACAGCAACCATGCTATTACCTTCAACTCTTTTTAACGACGATGAACTTCAAGGTGCTGATGAGGAAGGCCCTGAATATATGTCAGAGTTGCATCATTCATATAGTCCACCGCAGCGACATAATGATGCACAATCTCCAGGGTCCAGTCGCTCTGCTAGTCTAATGTCTAGTCCTCACGCATCATCACAAAATCTCGCAAAATATGGCGTTACACATCATGATTATGCTCTCGATGCTGATCGTACTTCGCTAGGCTCACCCTCGTCAAAGTTTGGAGTAATCGGATCACCAGCACGAACTGGTCAATCAACATCTCATAGGAATTTTGGCAGCATGTTTACTTCTCTTCGAAAGTCTGAGAAGACCCCTCAAGATGGACTCCCTCTTGGTAGTTTGAAAGGCCAAAGCCATTCATTTCCACGTTCCACTGACGAACCGGAGACTCCCAACAGGGCTCGTCGTATAAGCTTCTCATCCGGCTGGGGGAATGTCTTTCAACGAAGCGCTACAGTTGGTGACTCTTCTGAGGGTAACGCACCTGCTCCAGCTCGTCCAAATGGTCGGAGACAACTTGGGTTTAGTATGTTTGGCTTTAGAAATGAAGATACAAACCATCTACGTTCCGCTCGTGACCCTAGTAGCCCTCGTCCGACGTCCATTGCCTCTTCTGATCTGCCACGCCCATCAACGGATAGTGCACCATTCGGGTGGGGGCCAGGAGCTGATGGGACCGTAAACAAAAGCCCACTTGTTACCGATTGGTCTGTGTCCGCTCCACCAACTTGGTCCAGCAATCCATCGAGAAGGCCTAGTTTCCAACATGGTTCCTCTAGTGCGCTGGCTTCTGAGATTTTGAGCGGGTCAGACGAATACTTCTATGAAGATAACATTCACTCAAGTCCACCTCCGAACCTGGGGGCTATTGGCACTCGGCCCCCTTCGTCCCACAACTCAGTCTTACCTAAGCTCAACCCTAATGCGCCAAAATTCGAACTCCCTCAAACGAGTGAGCCTGTCTTTTCTCGTCTGCTGAGAAGTAAAGGTAAAGGCAAGGCTCCAGATCAGAATACCGAATCATTTGACCCTACCTATGATACACCTCACCCCATTACCTCTTCTCCTTCTGAATCGAGAAAGTCTCGAGACTCGCCATCTATCCACACACAAAATAGTGTGGCCGAATCAATAGATAGCTTGGATAGGACCAAAAGTAACACAGCATCTGATATTGCAGGAAGCGCGAAAGGAGAATCATCCTTCACAAAGCTCCTCCGTAAAGGTAGTTCGAGTAAATTCAGCTTAGGAGGCAAAGACTCGATTTTTGGGAGGAAAAAGGGGGGAAGTAGTACGGCTGCGTCGGATCACAATGATAGAGATGAAGGGTTGGATGACCTTGGTGATTCTTTGGTGATTGGAACCGGGGGAGAAAGTGCAACTAGTAGTCCAAGGATTGGCGGGTTTGAAGGAAGTGATGGAAAAGCAAAGGGCGCGACTAGAGAAAGAAAAAGCTCGACGTGGGGCAGATTTCAAAGGAAGAAGAGAGAAAGTTCGGAAATAGAGAGGAGTGAGAGGAGTGAGGCGGAGACGACAGGTACGGAAGATGAACATGAGTGAGTATGCGCAATTGCCTTGATTTCCTCAAGCGAGTGGGAATGCAGGGGTTGAGCATCGGGAGAAGGGGAGGGAGTTTATGAATGATATGATTTTCATCATATATCCATACTCGTATACTCGTATACTCACATACTAGGATATCTTGGACGTGAGATATACGCAGCATTTGCAAAGCATTTGTTGATTTGTTGACTGGAAATCGTTAGCGTTGCATGCATACCTATATAGTAAAAGCATATTTTTGATTTACATATAATACTCTAGTATTTGATGGCCAAGTGATTGCTGATTTTATGTGACCTTCTTGGGAACTTGGTTTCAAATGTGCTGATGGGATGAGATGAGATGAGGATGAGGATTGTATGTGCAGTTTTATCGAGGAGGGTAGTGAGGAGTGAGGAGTGAGGAGTGAGAAGTATAAGGAATAAGGGGGTATGATATTGGAAGGGTTAGTTATTCTTTGGGTTCTGATAGATGGGTAGATGAGAAACAGTAGATGAGAAACAGTAGATGAGAAACAGTAGATGAGAAATAGTAGATGAGAAATAGTAACCGGGTGGATGGGAATATAGATGAGTATAAATGAGTATAAATGAGTAATTCTTTTTGTACATTGCTACTGAGTAAATTTTGAGATATTTGTGATTTTGGGATTGATTTTTAGTTTTGAATTCGAGTTGTGAATGTGTGAATGTGTGAATGTGTGAGTTACTTGTTTTAATACTCAAATCCAAGTCTGAGCCAAAATCCAAATTCAAATCTAAACAATCTATACACACATATACACACATCTCTATTGGGAAAAAAACAAGTCTTACGCGAGAGATCAGGTGAAAGGTATTGCAAAAGAAAACCGGCAAGGAAGAAAAGAAGCAAACACAGAAACGCAGTTGCTTGGGGGTAACAAGGGGTTATAGTAAGGAAAGCCACACAAGAACAAATGGAAGATGTATCCAAGAGGACAACACCAAAAAGAGAAAAGCGATTTCACATCACCACAGGAGATGATAGCCGCACGTATCGCACCAACCTATAGATTGTGCGTCAAAGAAACATCATATCAATCGTGTTCGGAAGTACGCATATTGCACACTATAAGTATAAGTCTACAACAGAATGGCGTCTTGTCATAACAGACTCAAGGATCTCCAGAGAGAAATAGATTGTGATTATTTTCCCTATGTACTTTGTTCCACTAAAACCACTTGGATACATCGCATAGTCAGCGTAGCATTAGCTATAGAGAGACTGAATCGATTGTGAATTTACTACTACTGCTACTACTACATCTCTATTTCCGAACCAACCAAATCATCAAGAATCAAAAGACCCCAAAAACAAAATCCCAAGATTCCCAATCTGAAATATCAAGAGGATTTTGTACACCTAGGGATCTATAACTATAGCCATAACCCTCCGAATAAGCTATTCACTATACACAAATACCTAGATACCCAGAAAGATAGGAAAAGCATCACGAAATGCATCTATCAAAACCTCAAGTAACATTCGAATCCCATCCAATATCACCCAACCCGTAAACACAATTCTTAATAAATAAATATGATATGTACATACCTACCCACCCATCCACGCAGTTACCCAAAATCCTCTCGATCTTCTTCTCCGCTAACCAAAGTAGAAACAGAGAAAGGGGAAGAACGATCAATGATCAACCCCCCTAGTTCACAAGGCAAGTACATCTATCCATCTATCCAGTGCAACTCTCCTCACAGGGAAATCAGTCATGGTCATGGTAATTACTTTCCTACCTCTAGTTCCATATTCCATTCCCGAACCTTTCTCTTCATTTCATTTTTAATTTCTTTCCCAATGAATGAATAAACAAATAAATAAATAAACAAACAAGAATACTCCATCTCATCTGTACATTTTATCAAAGATTTTGGAGGCATATGACAACATCGGAATAGCGCTACACATACAAAGACGTTCGTATACCCATTCCCATCCCAAACATGGGCCAAGTACTTGTAAAATGTCCCATCCCACCATCATGCTACCCCCCTTTCAATAACAATCAGAAACTGATCAACTCAAGCAAAAAGTCAAAACGGAATTGTCCTCTCTTCTCCGCGTGGCGAAATCTCTTTGCAGGTTTTGTATGTGTACCCACAAGACGAGATACTGATCCTCTTGATACATGTTCAACCATCTCTGCTGACTACTCATTATCGATTTGCCCTATGTCTTCGATTTCGATTCCAGATGTAGGAGGGATAGGAAGTCCAGTTCCTATGACTTCGATTCCAGATGCGGCAGGGATAGGAAATCCAGTTCCTACAACTTCGATCCCAGACGTAATATGGACAGCAGATCCAGCTCTTATCGAAAATAACGACGACAACAACAACACTTTGAATGCAACAAGTCAAGCAGAACGCGAAACCGATCAATTTGAAGGTCTCGGGCTCGCTCAGCGATTGAGATTGATCGAACAGAGATATGTCCAGTTCGAAACCCCGCATGGTAGTAGTGTGTCTGTCGCTTCATGTTCATTACCTCCATTACCCCAAGGAAACTTCACCTTCAGTTTTCCTACTACAGTTCCCCCTACAGTTCCCCATCCAGTGAACACTACGGTTCCTACTACCGTTCCCAATACAGTGAACACTACAGTGGATACTGCAGTTCCAAACACAGTGAACACTACAGTGGATACTACAGTTCCCACTACAGTTCCCACTACAGTAGACGAATCCAACCTTCAACCCTCCGATGACGAGCAACCTTCTTTCCCCTACACAATATATGACTTTACCAAATCCGGCTTAGTGGTATCTGAAATCAGTGGGATTGACGTGGAGGAGCAATATCATAATATTATGGAAATCGTTGGCAAAGCTTGTGGCAAATGTCCAAAGTGTACGAGTGACAATCGTGTTCAGGATATGATTGATACGATTATCAATATACGGTTCCCGGACTTGGATACCGCCCTATTCCGAGATGGAATTCTGAGTGAATTTGGATTCGACGACTACTGGAATGAGCTCATAGTGGCCAAGCCCGAGGTCAGGAAAGGGTATGTAAAGTATGAAAATTGGTACGCAAAGGTGTGGGAAGATATTGAACAAAAAAACGGCCTGCAAGCTATTTCGAAGGTTATTGAAAAAGAGTTTGGTCAATCTCGAGATTTTAGACGGATCTTGGCAGGTAAACAACGCCCGACACATGAATGGGGAAAGATGGAATTACTTCTTTTCGTGATAAGAATACGGAGAATTCGAGGAAAGCTAGAGGATCGCCCCCAGACGCAAGAAAAACAAGAAACGCAGAGGACAGAAACCACTGCAAGAAAGAACCGCAAGACTAGAGACCAGGAAAAGAGGAGGAAACTTAGGGACCGAGAAGATAAGGTCGCGGCTAAATTGCTGCATGATACACTTGAATTGTTAAAAACGGCGGCGGTAGAAACAAATGTAAGGATTATTATGATGGCACAGCGAAAGAGCACGTCTTTTCCAAAAAATTGCCCTCCTGAAGAGATTCATTCGGGGTGGGAAAAGAGATCAGCATTCCTACCATTCATCAACATTCAGGGATTTGTTTCGTTGATGAAGGAAAGCTAGGACCCGATGGAGATACATTGCAAGAGAATTGGTAAGGTTATGTCAAGGGTTGAGCCAAGGTCCTGCAGAAATATTGGCATGAACTTGGAAGCAGATTCTGGGGCAAGACAAAATCTAGTTAAATCATGCGTAGCGTCATTCTACCATCGATTGTATATAAAAACAGCAATTCGCTGTCACCTCGGTTGGACCAACTTCATTAAGGGTGCTTGATAGCGAGGATAGATAAAATCATCTCAGCGTCTAACTGTATGTTTGCATGATAATAAAGACGAATCACTAGAGAGATATGATGCATCTTAGCTGGCTCAAGCATCAGATAAGATGTAGTAGATGCCCAAGATTTAGACAAGAAATGCAGCGAAAGAAAACGATGTCAGAAACGATGATCTAAAAATGGTTGTGGTGACAGGTAACTAGAGTCGATAGGTTACTGTAGCCGTTTCTCCTCAATGTAATACGTCGGATTTATAGGTAACAGACACCGAGAAATCAAGACAGCAGAAGAATGCATAATGTTAAGTGTATCGTGTGTGGCCTACAAGAAAGTTTCAAAGGCACAGTGCCGTGCCCCTCCGTGGAAACAATCCACGTAGAAGGAGAAATGCAGCATGAGCAATAAAGGCTGCAAGCAATGTGTCGTGTGCTAGAATACTCAGCACTCAACTTCAACATTCGCTTTCCTTTGCAAATAATAAATATTATAAGGCGTGGTCAATTTTCTGTTCTTGATGAAACGGTATCGTTACATGATAATTTTGTCCTTATGGCTTGAATGGTTGTATGGTGATGATCAGATATAGTGGTGGTTGCAGCAAGACTCAGGATACAAATGGAAAGGCATATTTATGCAGATGCGCTTCTTTGCGCTTCTTCTGGTGTGTTGAAACACCCCCTCTCGTAATTATAAGCGCCGGGTCTTTAATGCATACGGAATATAATCAATAATATTGCTGCAGTTCCTAGAATAGCTGTAGGATTTTAAGTTTTTTATTGCAACCACAGGCTCAAATCTGTTGGAGAAAAAAAAATCCGTTCGACAAGACCAAAAGTCTACAGGTTTTTCAAACCTCATTGAGACCGCGTGATTAGTTTGAACATCTTGTATAATACAATGAAGTTGCAATAGTCCCTTCTCTACATAAAACCGGCCTCATTACCGGAAGACAGCGTAAGCAGAGAGAGAATGCATATACAGTAAGGGTAAAGCAATAACCTCATAAGACGCATCAAAAGAACAGACTGATTCCACAAACTTCGACGTGTACAATAATTTAAAGTATTCAAAACGCCTACAAACAGAACTTGCTGGTGTTCTGTGCAATGGTACGTCCAGTGGGGGTTCCATGAAACTATTTATCAATAGTCATCTCTGACATCGAGTAAGCTCTAAGCTTAGGGGGAAATTATTCATTGACTTCAATGAATACAAACAACAACACTCTCATTGGCGTCTTGTCCCATGATGATGTGATTCAGATAGTTTTCGGTACCATAGCTACGGTAGTGAGCGTTTTTAGTGCAGTATTGGCATGGGTGGCATGGAAATCGCATAGGGCGCAGACTGGGCGGAATTCTTTCAGCGAAGGTATGATTCTGCCTTTAATTTGACGAGATTTTGTAGAGCTATGCCGACGTATTTGATAGCTCTATCTTCTGACACATTCGAGCTTCGCTTGGTGGTCACAAATACAAACAACATAACATAGGCTGGAAAAGAATAGTTGATGGGCAGCGGATTCAGTGTTATTCGACTCAGGTTAGCCAAGCTATTGACAGAAGATATGAAGAATCTTGTCGACTTGGGAAGAAGAGTGTTTATAGATACACTCGGAAATATCGGAAGAGTCATGTAGTCAAGATCCTTACTTACTTAGCCGTAGACAACACCTGTTTGTGACTGATAGTACGAGTGAGATCTCGACTGGAACTAGCTCGATAGACTAAATTGTTTTTCGACACACCGTTTTCCTGGATTGTCAAACAAATTGTGTACTCATCTAAAGTAAAATACTTCCTCACAACCCGAACAGGCTTTTGCCTTCCGTAATGCCCACAGGAAGGGGCACGTTGGTGACAACATTACCAATTTTTGCTTTGATTTCCTCTGTCTTTATTTGAATCTGCTTTACTTTCGTCAATTCGTTGGCTGTCAATCGTTCAGTAGCTTCAATGAGTTCCTGGTCTGGAGGCAATAGTGTCCACGCAATGCTAATATGAAATGCGTCTGATAAATCAGCCATGTCATTGAAAATATCCTTTTTTTGCTGTGTCTTGCCTCTGAAAGGTTTGCCGTGTTGAGAGTGGTGAGCACCTCTTGCTACTTGTTGACCATTTACACTCGTTCTAGAATTTGCGTACAGGGGCGGCTGTCCAAATTCTTCCACGACTTTATTACTCACGTGAAGTAATTTGTTCAAGGCATTGCTTTCCGGTGTATTGACGCGGAGAACCAAAAACCATCGAGTTTTTTCATAATTAGGAACCCAAGCTAAACCGGAGAAACCCATCTCAAAACTTAAATTTGGTTAGTCACGTGGAACCCCTAATTCGAACGGACAATGGACTTACGGACGAACTCCGGAGGGCTTTATGACTTGTTCGAATGAAGTCAAGAAGGTATCTTTTACATCTTTAGAAAAGCCAATTGATCGTGAAAGACTGACATGTAAGGGAAGAGGGACCCCAAGATCATTTGACAAAAATGTTTGAATGTCGTGGGTTTTGAACGACTCAACTTTCGAGATCAAGGATGATATAAGATCAAATTCTAGAGTCGAAGGATACCCTCGATTGAATTAGCGAAACGAGCTTGACAAGAAGGTTAAACCAAGGCATTGATCGGTACTCACACTCAATATAAATATGTGTTGGCCAATTACCCTCAACATGAGGAGTCACTCTTTTTCTTCCTCCATGTAAGCTTGGATCATCTCTTGTACTGTTCCTCACGGTTGAGGCATAAAGATCATGAAATTTGGAGGGCAGGGGAGGTAATTCGGATGATGATGATGATGAAGAGATATCTCGCTTTCGCTTTAAATTACTTGGTGTGACTGTTTTTGTGTAGACATTCTTTTCATCATGTTCTCTGTTGTTGACTTGGTTGACTTGGTTGACTTGGTTGACTTGATTGTCATGAGGAAGGTCTTCGTCTTCAACATCTTCCTCGTCGGACGACATATAATCGACCAGGGCCATGATATGATGATGAATTTAAACTTTGTCAGCCTTCCTTGGCCGAAGTATGTATGATTGATTCCGAGTTGAAGAAGCCGACGGTTGCACTAGACAGCAACAAAAGTAAGACTTGAGCCCAATTGACAAGTGCTGGGGATCGTTCGGAATCGAGTTGGATTAATAACTTCGTACCTATACGATAGCGTGTTGTACCCGGCCGGGCTTTCCGTAATTCATGAACGTCTACTCTACTGCGTACTAACTCAAGAGCCAAAGGGCCCAACTTGAAAACAAATGAAACAAATGAATCTTCGTCAATCAATTCATTCCCCAGCCCCTAACGTGTGTTGAGCAGAAGGTAAAAGATTTTAAAGTTTGGCCAAGAGAGTTGGGATTCGTGGCAGTGCGACTGTTCCCAGGGCTCAATGCTGGACAAGTTAAAAGTCTAGAACCGACTTTGACCCATTAATTAGACGTCAGCGTACGGAGTCTATTGAGGCTTTGCGGAGTTGAAAGTTGGTGTTTTGTGATTCTGTCTAAAGCCAAAAATAAATGAAATGATGAATTGATGAATTGATAAATTGATAAAAAGATAAATTGATAAAATGATCTGCTGTTGGAAGTGGATCTTGGAGTGCCTGACTAATCAATTTCTGGGTAGACTTGCTGCAGTGTTGAAGCGTGATTGGAGTGATTGGAGGGATGGAAGTGAAGGTTGTTTTGGGTTGGGAGAGATGCATCTATCAAATACTAGGATGTCCATAACTCGGCCTTATCTAGCGTTATCAAATTACATCATTGGTACCAAGGATACCCTGAAATATTGCGTACCTCTCTTAGCCAGCTAGCAACGAGTACGATGAGCACGATGAGGACCGCTACCGCTACCATGTCTTTTTTCTTTCTTGTTCTTGCTCTTCTTTGCTCAACGCATCCGGCCTTCCTTTCGATTTCTAATTATACCTCGATCCCTTGTGTATATATATATACATATATATACCTTGTCAGAAGAGAGCTAATGACCTACTTTCCCTACTACCCGACCACCTAGCACTCGACCAAATAGTACTTGATACTTTCCCTCAAATAGAAACAAGCCTTCTTCCTCTTTTCTTCTCTTCTCTTCTCTCCTCTTACACTATCTAACCATTGCACCCGAGAAGAAGTCTCCTGTTGTGTCTTCACTAATCGACTCTTAACAAGAAAAATCACCGGGTGATTAATAAACATTATATTCACGGCTCACTCGGATATCACCTGAATCAAACATCACACCATATCTGGTGCTTAATTATCTTCAAGATGGAGAGCTCAAGTGATAAATGGGTATGTTAAGACTCTCCATCTGTATCCTGATCAATGGATCAGTGAATCAATGAATCAATCCATCAATCCATCAATTCATATACATTGAGCTCTTCATCCATTAAACTCACAATATCAATCATAACCTATATCACAATTACCATGACCACTAACAACCACCTCTCCATCCAGGCTCAACAATATCTGATCGATCCTCTCAATGCTCCTCAGCCGAGCGAAGAAACAGGTCCCGGAAGCCATTTCAAATCTTCTATTCCACAAACCCAATCTAGCAGTTTCGGGAGAAACAATTCTACCAAGAAAACCGCCCAATCAACCGTGTCATCCTACCCAACACCTCCCTCCTCCGCTAGTCCCACCAAATCGTCCTTCAGCTCCAATAATCCCTATTCATCTCATCGCCAATCGGCTTTTGGCGGCTACTCCAAATCCAACAGTGGAAGTCTCCGCAACAGTCTCGAAGAACCTGTGAGCGATAATGGCAAAGGACGGCGACGAGGTAGCTCACTAGGTGAACGCTTTCCCGGTGACATGTCCCACAGACCTCTCGACCAACTACGTCAAGAAACCAAAACGGCATATCGGTCTCCGCATCTTCGTAAGAAGCACATTCCAGGTGCCGATACCATTGATTCTCTCGATCGTACTGCAATCGGTGGTGCGTATCATCATGGAGGCCCTTACGATGCTACATTGATGGCACGCAATACAAGCTACAAGAATTCTCCCGTGGCAGCGGTTGCGGAAACGAACGCGGAAGCTATCAGGGCTACCCCGAGGGAAAATATCCAAGATAGTTTGGAAAGACATATTCCATTATCAGGAACAGCTGCGATTCCTCCTGGAATGCCGGGTCCGGATGGTAGGATTATGAACTATGAAGAAGGTGCGGATTTGATGAGGGAGCCTGATGCTGCTGGTGGTGCGTATAAGAGATGGGATCATGTGGTATGTTTATCTTTTTCTTCCTGTTTTTTTCTGTTTCTATACTGCTGTCATAACATGGGTATCCAACAACTGGACTCTCGAACTGCAAAGTTCAGACGAAAGGGACTTCATTCTGCAATCCCAACTCCACCTCCCTTTCATTTCAAATTCAGACGAGACTACACTCCACCCACCAACTCACCCAAACTAAACTAACACGAACCCTCCCTAGAAATACCTCCCCGAAGACTACAAAGGCAAAGGTGAACCCTCCTTCACCATCGAAAAAGCCCTCAAAGACCACAAACGCGCCCAAAAATCCCACCGTCGCAACATGTCCGACGGCAACTCCGCCTACGAAATGCAATCCCAACCATCCTCATCCGCTTCAGGATCGAGTCTCCGTCCCCCTCCCACAAACCGTCAAAGAAGCGCAAGCGGAGGTAACCTCACAAGCGGCGATAGCAAACACATGACGACTACGAGCGGAAGAGCAATGGAAACGGTAGATTTCTCAAATGATGACGCGGGCGTAGGAAGCAGCCGAAGTAATAGTGCGGGAAAATCGCACAAGATGGGTGAGGGTCTCAAGAGAAGATTCGGGAGCTTGAAGAGGAGTTTGAAGGGGAGTGAGAACTAGGTAGCTTTGGATGATAGACTCATTTCGTTGCGAGAATGGTTAAGAGGGGATGGTAATGGTTTTTGGTTGGAAGAAATGTCTTTCAACGTGGACATGCCCACGGACATGAACATATGGGATACGTGGATGGGACGGACGAAAATGATGTATTTTTAGATTTGGAGAAAAATTGTACGATGTCGGTTTTCTTGATGATCCTAAAGAAAGTATATATGACAACAGATGGATGATATGGCATGTGAAGTAATAAATAGATCCGGCAGGAGTATTCGCAATTCAAAAATAATACCTAGTTTCACTTTCACCTATTTCCCAATCAACTATTCATCTGATAAATACCTGGGTAGGTATCTCCTCCTATCCTATCTCATCAGTCACCCACCTACCTACTCACTCACTAAAATCATATCGAGAGTTATATTGTTATACTGTGAAGGTAGGAATGCAATGTTATGTTATTCATGACATACTACTCATATAGCATGTTGATATTTACATCACCGTTACCATTACCATTACCATGACCCTCCACCCACCTACCCACCCACTCATCTATCAATGCATCCATGCATCCATCCATCCATTGAAAGATTAAACACCTACTTCCCTCCCCTACCTTGCTTTCCATGCACTTCTTTCCACCGATCCCTTCCCCCTCGTGAGACTCGTCCGCTCATCCAAACTCCCCCAAATAAACCAAAACCCCATATCAAACTCCATAAAACCAAAATGCACAGAATGCATATATACTATTTGGGTATTCCAATTGCGCACCATCCACAAACAATCCCTAACACCTTTATTATGCGTGTATAAACCCTCATCACTTGTTCCGTCCGTCTAATTCGCTTGCTGTCACTACCAAAATAGTTCCCAAAACGTAAAATTCCTTCCCAATCGACTTTAAATTACTTCGATTCTGTCTTTGACTTTGTCTGTGACTCCACCCGACTCTTAAGTACCAATGCTTCAACCTTTGGTATTAGATCTGGCATGCGAAATGGTTTAGAAACAACGTCATCCTAATTACAATTATTAGCCTCGGTTCCCAGAGAATATATCTTTATACAAAAGGATTAAAGGGCGCATACCATCCCAGTAGCTAAAGCCGTCTCAATCTGTTCCAATCTTGCATTTGCCGTAACTGCAATTATTGGTACATGGCGAACAATCGTTCCATCAGCTTCTAATGCTCGAATCTTCTTAGTGCAAGTAAGACCATCCACTAAAAGTTAAATTGTTAGCATTCCTATTCAAAAGTTCAGGACAACAGAGAGAACTATGGACATACTTATTGGCATTTCAAGATCCATTAAAACACACGAGATGCTGATTCTTTCCACAGTGGGACTTTCATGCTTCCAAAAAGACGACCCTTCCAATTTATGCAAAGCCTCTAACCCATGGTTGCTGACTTCCGTCACAAACCCGGCTCTATGTAATTGTTTTTGTAGAACGCGCTGATTAACAAGATTATCTTCAACGATAAGAATTGTAATATCTTTGTAATCAACCTTTGGACTTGGTGATATCCTAGCTATACTTGTTGAAGCTTCTCCTTGGGATCTATTTAATAATGTAAGCAGGAAATCATCGCAACGCAAAACAAAGGGCGTTTCATGCATATAGAGACAGAATAAATTTAAACGTACTGGGTATGCACTGGCTTTTCCAACGAGCTGTTGATACTTTCTACCGGTGTAGGGTTTGTGATACGTGAAGAAGACTTTCGATTTATGGCATTGTGATTTGGAGAAGATAGAGGTGATGCTTCGGGACTGCGCTCAGCCCGGCGAGCCTTGACGTAAAACGCAAAACAACTGCCAACTCCTTTTTCTGAGGAGACTCCAATTTGCCCACCTTGAAGTTCGGTTAACTCTCTCGAGATGAATAATCCAAGGCCTGACCCGCCATATTGAACGTGAGTACGTGGAGACGCTTGTGAAAATCGTTGAAATAAAATCGACACTTCTTTTTCATCAAGACCTCTGCCTGTATCTCGAACAGCAAATTTCAGATACAAATCTTCGCCTGGACCCCATTCTGCTTCATCCATTGCCAGACCCGTAACACCTGAGCGGGAAGGAAAATACTGAACGGTGGTATCGCTGTTTGCCGGATGTTCCTT